TGTATCGACCAGTGTTCGCTGTGGATCACCAGTACTGACTCTAGCTCCAAAGTGCGTTTGCGTGTATGCGTCCACTCGAATGGTTTCGGTCCCACTCACACAGCACAGTGCATGTTATGCCGGTTTTTTTTTTCTCCCTCGTTCTCTTGCACTGATCGTTTGTCTTGTCCTCTACATTTCGTTCGCATTCGCATCTCCGGGGTATGGGGGGTTTTCCCAACTGTTTGGCTATTTATTCTGAATGCCTTTTTTCAGATCTAATAAATCCGGGTACTTGAAGCATGTCTGCCTGCCCCCTCCCTTGTTTGACGGTCGGTTTGCTTTCATTCCGGGNNTTTCCTGTTCACAAACACACACCTTTCACTCCACAGCGCTTTGTGATTACTACGAGTCTTTGTTTCCCCAAAACCGTGGCCCTTGGTATTAATTAGCTCCGATTGATCTGACACTGCGCCGACGTACGGTAAGTGACATACTACTGACTTGATTTTTTCTTTGCAAATCTAATATCATTTCATTCGAGCAAGCAAGTGGAGAAGGAGGTAGTTTGGTATGAAATTTTTTCCCCCAGTTGTTGAACGTTCAGAATTAACCATCGTCTTCCTCGTAAGTTCATTTTCAGTTTCTACAACCATTAACAATGCACTATCAGTTTGTCGGCGAGGTCAAACAATTTTCATTAGACTGACCACTTAACAGTGTTTGTGTGGAATAGAAAGGAACGCCGTATTCACAATGCTGTTGTTCCACAGCGTTTGTTTTTCGGAAGGATTCTTTTTTATGCTCTGAACTATATTTCTTTCTCATATTGTGATCTGCATGATATGACAGTGCAAACAAGATGCCGCGATTTCTCTGTCAGTCTGTCATCTCATGCACCAAGATGATTGTGTAATGAGGCACTCGTCTACATTCGATCTGTGCGACGGGGCATAAATGCCACCCAGAAATATGTGAGAAATTCGATACCGTTTTCGTACAATCTGTCGATCCGAACTGCAATAGCGTATAAACAAATGAATGGGATTTATCTCAGCACACCAGTCCACATACCTGGAAACGCTTTCCCGACTTAATTACGTTTCCCCTCTCCGCTTTTTCTTTCTCTCTTTCGCTTTAGTTCAGTTTTAACCCTTTACTGTCCTCCCATGAGTGCTGACCACGTCCGGTTGTTCTCCGGATTGCCAACTACCGGCGATATCCATGGTTTGTACAAATCAGCTGTTTTTTCCTCTCTCGCACCCGCCCGCGTGCGTGCGTGCACAGACACGCACACGTCGCTCCTCGTTGTTGTACTTCACTCGGTGTTGTCTCATGACTGACCACCACCACCACCACCACCACCACCACCACCATCGCGTCAGTGACTAACCGTAGTTCGCGAATGTTCTTTTCCCTTTTTTATTTTCTGTTCACTCTGAATATGCTTGTTCAAACATGAGTTTGTCGTGCGCGCTCTTTTTCACACCTACCCCCCCCCCGCCCGCCCTCACATCTGTGACTCAATAATCCATGGGGGGGTGGGGGGGGGGGGGGG